GCATGACTGCACATGCGCAGTTCAGGAGCTAGACAAGGGTTTTTGCATCTTACATCATCAGTGTGTGCTGGTGATCATATACTCGCAGCCTGGGCATGCAATCAGCGCATGCGTGGTGTAGCTTTGTAGGCCCACCTGTGCCTTAAAGAGCCTACCCTCTCTCTGTCCTGTTCCCTCTCCCCCCACCATCTTTCCCTCTCTCTGCACATGCTCCCTTCCCAGGCCTGGTTCTTTTGTCTCCCCCTGCTTCCTCCTAATAAAGCTCTGCTACTAGGTAGTCATGGCCATGCCGTGCCTCCTGATGTTTTCTCGAGGTAACCAGCGCCACTTATCATTCATTTCATAAGTGCATATGACATATTCAATGTGTGTAAATTCAATGTGAAAATACACAACTTCCTTTCTGAATGCTAATTTTAATAGTATTGAAGTTTATTGAGTTGTACTGACTTGAGGTTTGGTTAATTTTGGTGTGTGGTATTTTTACTCATTTTCAAGTTTTTTTTTTTTTGAATGATCAAGTTTATAAAAAAATTATGTAAAGAGAAATTTACAATAAATTTTCAACACACTTGAAACAAGGATGGATTCTGTGGTGAGGCGCTCCTGTAAACCCACCAGAACTTGGACAGTGGAGGCCCGAAAGATCAGTTCAGTAACAGCCTGAGCCACGGACCTAGTTTGCATCGAATCTGGAGTATATAAGATTCTGTCTCACAATAACAAAAAGTCAGTGAAATTCTCCCCTCACTTCACGTTTCTGCAGATCAACACTTTTTTTTTTATTAAAGCCACTGAAGGAATGCTGGCCTGACGCTTATGAAAAAAACTTCTCTCATAAAACATGGTGTACACTTACACCAATGGATGTGACCATCGTCTAACGGGCTACTCTCGAGAAGGGCAAGAGTTCAGCAGTCGGTCCTTGGCCACTGGGAAGAAAAGAAAAGGAAAAAAAAAAAAAAAAAAAAGCGGAGGGGAGGGTGTTTTCTCTATCGATCCGGAGGTCAGTTGAGACATCTCCCGCACCCTTCCATGACCGGCTTTTCCGTTCTGAATGGTGCACCCCGCCTCCTTTAACCATAAGAGGGGATCGATGGTGGGAATCTTCGCGCCACAAACACTGCTCAGAGAACTCTCGGAAACCAAGGCATCAAGGCTAAGACACGGAAGCCTCTAAAGATCAAAGCCTGGGCTCACCGCCACCACTCCTGCCCCCCCAAACCCAGGGAGGAGACTCCGGCCGAGAAGAACCCCTCCTAGGGAAGTCTCCCCGTCACTCCCACCACTCCCGCCACCGTCAGGAGCCTCCTAGAACTAGTCGATCACACGCACACACTCGCCCAGCAGGAGAGGGCCCGTTGTAGCCACACACAAGATGGCAGCCACGCACCTACCGAGGAAAAAGCGGCGCCACCACTTCCAGCGATGCGGCTCCCTTGACTGCGGGGAAGCCCTATTGGCCGCCGCAGACAGCGCGAGACCCGCCGAGAGCGGCGCTGGCCAATCAGGAGGCGGCGCCCTCGGAACGGCGCGCGGGGCCGCGGGACGCGCGCGGAGCGTCCTAAGGCGCGGAGCGGCAGCGGCTCTAGCCAATGGGCGTCTGGGCGGGCCGGGGAAGGCGGGCGCCGGGTCCCGGCGGAGCTCGCTGCCGGCGCGAGTCTCCCGGGCTGAGGTGAGGGCGTCTCTTGACAGGCGGCTCAGGTGCGAGGCGCGCAGGGTGCGCTGCGGGTCGGCCCGGCTCTCCCCGCGCGTGCCGGCGGCTCGCGGTCCCCGTAGCTGAGGCGGCCCCAGGCTCTCGGTTGCGTTTTTCTCCCTCTGTCTTGGGGCGCTCGCCTTTGTGGCTGGTGGTTCCTGAGCGACTTGGCTGCGACAAGCGAAGTACAGAGTGAGACCCCGAAGCAGGACTCTCGGAGGTTCGAACCCTGGTCCACGCCACAAGGTAAGATTCCACACGCCCTGAATAAGTGAGGTCGCCTAGGGGCTGTAGTTGATTTGTATCCGAGGAGCGACTGACTGACACCCCACCCGCACCCCACGATCAGTGAAGTCGGTACTGACAGGCGTGTGGTTGACAGCTCTTTGACGTGTGCAAACTTAGGGTGGTTCTCTGTCTGTCTATGGACGAAGAAGGCCAAGGCGGGGAGGTTAATTTACGTTTACCCTTAAGATGGGGATCATCAGAGCATGAACTAGACGGCCACATGCAGTGTGGCATGCATTCTACAGCAGAAGCTGTTTTCCTGTTATTGTTGTCCTGTGGGTTAAACTGGCACACATGGAGTAATTCAAGACGTGCCCATTTATGTGTGACTTACACACCGTAAATGCCATGCCTAGCAAGGACCCAAGGAGATAGTGGAGTGGTACCTGAGCCTTTTTTAGTTCAGTGGGTTTTTGTTTTCAAGTAGAAAGGAAGCGTAGATCTAAATAAAAGGGGGTGCATTTTCTACAAGATAAAAGCTTGAGATCGGGAAAAAAAGGGGTGTGTGTATTTTCTACAAGGTAAAAGCGTGAGATCAGAAAAGAACCAAATTTAAAATTCTACTGCAAGCGGGGTTGTGGTGGTGTCTCAGGCCTTTTAATTCTATACCTCGGGAGGCAGAGGCAGGCAGATCTCTGAGTTCCAGGCCAGCCTGGTCTCCAAAAACAAAACGAACAACAAAAAAATTCCCCTGGCAATGAAATATTAGTCCTGCCTCAGGAAGGTGAGCTTGTGGTTTAAATTTTTTTCTTAACATTTCTGTTTTGCAAGGTTTTTTCAGTTAATTATTTTTTTCTTATGTAAATTAGTAGCTTTCAAGCTACCCTGGTGAGAGCTTCTTTGGTTGGTTGTAGTTTGCTACCTGGAAGCTCAGTCTAGTGGAGGATGACCTTGAACAACTCATCCTCCTGTCTCCATCTGCCCTTTGATGAGATAACAGGCGTGAGTTAGTGAGTGTGCTGAGGTGGAAATTACTAGAAGCATCCTGGAAGGGCAGCTGGGCAATGTCTCTTAGTGGCTCTTGGATATCTGTAGACTTAATTTACAATGGAAAGGTTGCTTAGTGAGAGGTACAGTCCCTGGTTTATAGTTACCTTTTAACATTTTGCGTTTCTGGTGAGTCTCATTACGAGTCTGATACATACTCCTTTTTGATGAACAGATTTTTCTTCAAGTTTCTGAGACTGTTTCATTTTTTGGTACTCTGAAGCATATCGGGTTGGTGGTGTATTCGAAGCCTGTTGTGGGGTCTATACTATGGCTCAGAAGCCCTGGTTTAGATCCTGAGCACTTTGTAAGTCCAGTGTGGTGGCACATGTAGGTTATCCCTGTACTCAGGAGGTAGAGGCAAAAGGATCAGAAGTTCAAAGACATCTTTGGTGTAATAGCCAGTTCAAGGCCAGCCTGTCTCAAAAAGAAAAATGGAAACGGTGTATTCTACTTGGCATTCGGTGGACAGTGGCTTATGTGTTTGCCTATTTTGAGAAATTCTTGGTCATTATCACCTTATTCCTTTATTTTTTCCTATAAATTACTAGCTATGATTTTCTAGAGTACTAAGTGGCTTTTCCCATGAGTCTTTTCTGTTATTTTCACCTAAACAGTTTATTTGAAGAACTGTTTCTAATATCCATGATACTTAATTGGCTATTTTTCAGAATTGTGCATTTCTTCAGTCCTTTGAGGATATCAAATATATTCACATTTGTTTTAGAAATATTTAATCCTTTTAAGCACAACTCCAGCAGTTTAGTGGGCTTGTTACTTCTCATTTTCACAATACAATCTTCTTGATGTGTTTCAGAGCTCTCATCTCCTTGGGGAGATTTCCTGTCATCCTTTTGTGTTATGATTTTGCTTGGCATCATCTTGCGTTTTTCCTGTTTCATGCTTCATAGAGGCCTCCCCAGCCTGTTTCTGTTGACAGTTCTCTTTTAGTTTTAAACATGACTGTATATAATTTTTGAAGCCTTCTGGTTTATGATGTGGGAAAGACAGAAAAATTTACCATGTATTGACTAACACTTCGATAATTCAAAAAATTTTTATTAGTCCCACCACTAGATATATACCCTAAGGAAACAATCAGAAAAATGCACAAAATGTTTGTTCCAGTATTATGTATAATAGTTTAAAAAATAAAGTCTAAATGTCTGATACAGAACTTTATATTGCCAATTAATAATTTTAAAAAATTTATTAAAATGCTTTTGTATGAATTATTGTCCAAAGCATGTAGCCATTTAATTATATAAAAGTATTAATGATGGGGAAAGACTAGATATTGTGAGCGTAGAAGAAGTATAAACACTAATATCTAAATTTTGTTTTAAAATTATATACTGAGAGGATAATTGCTAACATTGAATTCCTCCTATGTGTCAGGTACTATTCTAAGTGATAATTTTATCCTCACAACAATGTATGAGGCAGTAACTGTTAGTTCTCCTGTTTTTTAAAGTTTTTATGAGGTATTATGAGGGACAGCTTGTTGATTAGTAATACAGTGTGTTAACTAACATGTTAACTATGGGCAATAGGGTTATGGGCGATTCTTCTCTGTACTTTCCCAGTTTTGGTGTTTTGTAGATTTTATTTGTTATGTCTATTCTTTTCAAAAAGCTTTGGATTATTTTTAGAGAGAGAGTTGTCCTAACAGTATCTTTTTCCTCTTACTGTTTTCTCTTTGTTTTCCCTGCAGAATGTTTGGTGCATTTGTGGACCAAAGCATGGGATTCATTTTTATTTTTGGAAAGACAGTGCCAGTGGTCCTCCTCCAGCTGTCAGTTTGGCGTTAATGAAGATGCTGTGCCTGTTTTGCATGGACTGGTCGTCATTCTGAGTGTCTCTTCAAACACAGCTCTGTTTGGAAACTTGAGTATCCAAGAGTTTGGGTAATGGCATAAGACATCCTCTATTTGAGGACTGCAGAGTTTATAGAGACTCCGTCTGGACTCTCCAGTCAGAGTGGCACTCTTGATTCACTGAATTTGGAAGAATTTTATATAAGTAACAACAAAAGATGGGAGAAAGAAATGGTAGGTCATGGGGCACGTTGTTATAGCCTGTCCAAATGTTTATAGACTGTTCTAAATTATGGAATTTTAGGGTTTTCACTCTCAGTGATTTCTTTTTTCTTGCCTCTATTCATTTGGTGTGTGTGTGTGTGACATATATGAACATTTGTGTGTAGATGTCCACATTTGTGAATATCAAATATCAGGATTGGGTTATCTTCCTGTTTCTGCTTTTTTTTTTTTTTTTTTTTTTTTTAAGCAGGCTGGTGCTTAAAAATGTGCCTTACCTCAGTGCACAGTGTTACTGTCCATATGGTTGCCTGAGATAGAACAATACAGGTCATTCTAAAGTCTTGTCACAACTACTTGGGTGATCTTTTCTATGGAGCCCAGACTAGCCATGTCGGCCTCCAAGTTGGGCCTCTCCTTCTTTCTTTAGCTGCTTTAGCCTTCCAGATGCTGGGGTTACAGGTGTATGCCACCGTGCCTAGCATCTAGTGGTGGCAGAAGCCTATCTAATCACAGCACAGTATGTTTAGACCTTAGTAGCCTTCTATTTGAAAGTAATATTAGCATGACATATAAGGCCCTTGATGTCCTGGCCCCTTCCTGACCTCTGAGTGCCACTTGTAATCTATTTTCTTCTCTCAAGTTTGTTTTGTTTCAGATCTTAAAACCTTGTAGCTATGCTATGGGAAATTAAAAGTAGGCTTCATCTTGTGGAGTGTGTGTCAGAGAAATCACACCCCTCCTGAGGCTGCTTGGCAGTAGCCCTAATTAACCAGAGATCTGCTTTGGGAAAGGTGACTTTCCCAGTAGGAGTTGAGACTCAGAGGACTCAGCCTCTTTCCTTTGAAGATTCTGCCTCCATTGTCAGATTTGCAGGTTTAGAATTTAATTTTTATTAAGTATACAATTTATGTAACTGAACTAACACCTTAGTGTTCCCAATGACTACTCAAGTGGTCTTTCCAAATGACAATATATCTTTTTTTTTTTTTTTTTTTTTTTTTTGCTTAAGATCCTATTAATGTTAAGTAATTTTATATTGTTGAGAGTTCTACTATATAGCCTTGACAGGCCTGGAACTCATAGAGATCTGTCTGCCTCTATGTTTGACATTTTAGGGTTTTCTGTGACTTCTAAATATAATGTAAATATGAGATTTGGGTTTTTTGATAACTTTGATTACTTGTGTTATTTGTTTTCAACTTGAAAAACTTCTAGAAAAGTTTTGATTAAGATTTTAGTTTGCTGTATATCAGAAATGATAGCCCTTAATTTACATGAATTCCATTGCAAAAACCAGGTAAAGTTAATATTAAATACTTTAAAAATTATTTTGTAAATATTTTAAGTGTGTGTGTGTGAGAGAGAGAGAGAGAGGGAGAGAGAGAGAGAGAGAGAGAGAGAGAGAGAGAGAGAGAGAGAG